CTCCCTCTCCGGACTCCCAGCCCCTGTGAGCAGCAGGCAGTAATTTTTCCTGTCTCCTCATAAACCGGGCCTTCCTCCGCTCAGCCATCACCTGGCTGGCAGCGCTGTCAAAAAGACGGATGCCACATCTGCCTTGTTTACGACTTTAATTCCCAAACCCTGTTCTCTGGGCTCCCGGGGAGGGGCTGGGAGGGAAGGAGGAGGCGGGCACTATCTTCCTGTAGGCTTGACAGCGGCACAGATGCCCCTCTCAGTGACCTCAGCTCACTGGGGTTGGGGGACCCACAGGCCACCTGGAAGTGCTTCTTGCAAATCAGCTCCCATCCGTTCCCTGGAAGCCGTGAGGCAGGTAGCACTCTGCTGGAGATGAGGCTCTGGAGAGAATGGAAGGGGATGATATAATTCCCATTTCACAGATGAGGAAATTGAGGCCCCCAGAGGTGAGGTAACCTGCCCAAGGCCACAGAGCTAGGAAGTGGCAGCACCAGCAGTCACACCCAGTAGCTGTATGTTTGAGAAAGAATGAGTGCTCTACCCTACCCTCTAACCCTGACCATGTCAGCACACACTAGTCCAGCCTCCAGCTGCCAGGATGTGCCACCCTTCTGAGGCTTTCTCAGGCGCAGAAGCCCTCTCTGCCCAGCCATTTGGCAGGCTGGAGGTGCCAAGGAATAATGGTCTCCAGGAGCATCCCTCCACCAATGACCGATGGGGGCTGGCACACACATACCCCAGCTCCCTCTCGCTCTGTGTGGGACGACTGAGAGGCCTGGTCCTCTGTCCCAGGAGGATTCAGCTCCAGTTGTTCACAGTGGCAACCGGCTTGATCTCACACCCCGAATCTCTGCCTTCTCTCCTCTTTCCTGGAATCCCCTCCCAAATCAACTACTTGCTATCAAATCCTCATCTTTGGGGAACTCCACTTCAGACAGCCTTGGAAGATGAATCAAATCGTCCCAAACACAAGACCCCAGGATGAGAGGGTCCTTCCCACCCTCTTGGATGGTCACCAGAACCATCCATCACCTGGGGTGGGAAGGAATGGATTTGGCCAAGCAAAGGACACGGGAGTGGCACTTGCTGTCAGTGAGGCCTTGAGCAGGGCAGGCCTGCAGGACTGAAGCAGGTGGAGGCCAACTATGGAATGGGAACATCCAGGAGAGCGGAGTGAGCTGATCCTGAAGAGGTGACAGGAAGCCAGGCTCTGGAGAAAGAGTGGGGCAGGTGGAGAGTACATCTCGGAGACCACAGAGCATGGCTGGGCTAGCTAAGGGCTACAGAGAGGGGCCCCGGAGGAGTGGGAGGGAAGGACAGGAAGTGGGCAGATGGCAGGGGCCAGCACTGGCTTCACAGCCAGGCTACCTGGGCACAAATCCAGCACTGACAACTCTCTAGCTCTGTGATATTCACAAGTTGCCTCAGTTTCCTCTTCTGTAAAATGGGAGTTGCAGCTGTGACCATCTATACCACCCACCTTCAGGATGGCACATTCTTTCCTCATTCTTTCCACGTAGCAGACAGGCAGAATTGGTACCAACAGACTTGGACTATTAGATTACCCAATTGCCTGTCTAAATCCCAACTCTCCCATTTCCTCTCTAAATCAGCAATAACAATGATTTTATCAGCACCTATCATATAGATCATTCTCAGCCAGCCTCCTCACATGCTTTCTCTCCAATTCTCACAGCCACTGAGATAGCTGTTGGCTTCCCTGTTCTACAGACAGCAGCGGAGACTCAGAGAAGTCAGATAACTTGTCCAAGGTCACACAGCAGGGAGGAGGCAGAGCCAGACTCAGACCCAGGGGTGGGTCCTTCCCCTGCCCCTGCTCCCAGCTCTCCGTGGGTGTCACTCCAGTCCTCCTGGCCTAAGGCCTTCTCCAGCAGGACAGGCTCAGCTCAGAGGCAGGGTCATGGGGAAACCAGAGCTGCCTGCCCCTTCCCCAGAGTCTCAGGTCCCACAAAACATTCCCAGCAGTACCCCCACCTGCCCCTTACCTCACCCAGAGACAGACCAACAGGCTCGTGGTGCCTGGCCTGGGGCCACACAGGGACTCTGACCCACCTCTGCTGGGGCTCCCAATGCAGCAGGAAGGATTCGGGTCGGCTGAGACCCACTGCGTCCACTAGAGCCTCTGCCCCTTTGCTCATGGCACCCCCCAACCCAGCCTAGGGCACATGCGTCCTCCCTCCAAGCCAGAGGCTCCCAAACTTTGCTGCACAGTAGAACCACCTGGGGCACTTCAAAAAATCTCTATGCTCAGGTTGCATCCAGTGCAAATTAAACCAGAATGTCTAGGGTATCCGTATTTTTAAAAGATCCCCAGGTGATTCAATGTGAACAAAGCTTGGAAACCACTGCTCCAGCCCTAAATACACATTAAAATCACCTAGGGAGCCATATAAAAATCCACAGCCTAGGCCCCTCCCCTAAGACTCTGAGCTAGTTGGTCTGGGGGTGGTACCCTGGCCTGGTGTTAAAAGCTCCCAGGTGACTCTAATGCACCTCCAGGCTTTACAGCTGCCACTTACAGATCAGGAAGTGCCTCCATTAATGCTTCACTTCCTTCCAGAGACACCCTCTGGGCCAGCTCATCAATCCCGTTGCTCAGATGAGAAAGCAAAGGCCCGGAAAGGTCACAGAGCTTGCCTCAGGCTCACAGCAAAGCTCTCTGCTCTTTTTTTTCTTTTGAGATGGAATCTCATTCTGTCGCCCAGGCTGGAGTGCAGTGGTGGAATCTCGGCTCACTGCAACCTCCACCTCCCAGGTCCAAGCGATTCTCATACCTCAGCCTCCTGAGTAACTGGGATTACAGGTGCCTGCCACCACACCAGGCTAATTTCTGTATTTTTAGTAGAGATGGGTTTTGCCATGTTGACCGGGCTGAACTCCTGACCTCAGATAATCTGCCCACTTCAGCCTCCCAAAGAGCTGCGATTACAGGCATGAGCCACCGAGCCCAGCCGAGCTCTGCGCTCTGCTGAACCCTGCCCCAGTCCTCCTTCCCCACCTGCGCTGACCATCAGACCAAATGCCTCCCTTAGGACTGCTGGAGAGGTTCATGAATCCTGCCCCAAGAACTAGGAGTCTAGACAGAGCCTACAGGAACTGACCGAAGCTTCTCCCCTCCTGCCCCTCCCAGACAAAGAGGAGATTCCAGAAAGCCCTTCCCCTTGACAGCCCAGACCCCTCAACAGCATAGACACTGGGTCCAGGAGGCCCCAGCTATCCATCTTGCCACCACTTCCAGTCTTCCCTCCCCACCCCACCGCCATCCCATCCATCCCCATCCTCATCCCCAAGCTAGGTCTGGTGAGCTACAGTCAGGGTGCCCAAACAATTTTCCATCCCACATGGGCACTTCCAAGAACCGGAGGGGATGCTCTCAATAATGACGCCAGAACACACAGCCACCCCACCCGTGAGGGCTCAGCCTCCACACCAGGCATGTTTGCACATGTGATCACTGCTGGATTCAGGCATTTGCTGTGCAGCCTCGGGCAAATCACTTGGTCTCTCTGACTCTCCATATCCTCATCTAGAGTGCAGGAATCTTAGGAGTTCCTAGAGTTGCTGTGAGAGTGAAATGTCTTTTACGTTCTAAAGACGATGTCTTTAAAGTGTCTGGAACACGGTGGATACATAGTAAACAGCAGTGTTTATGTTTAGCTCACCCAGGAATATGCAAGCCCCATGTAAGACACAGGCACACACACCCCTTCTCTCTCAGGAACACCAACTCCCACACACACGAAGTCATATGCCACAGATGTATTCACACCTGCGCACACCCACACACCTGCACTCACTCTGCAGATCCGGTAGGTTTGGCTGCGAGCTTCTCCAGGTCCCCAGTGGTCCAGAGGCGCAAGTCCCTTTGGGCTCTGGCCACCAGAGGGCAGCATGCTCCCCGCCCACCCTCATCACACTCCCTTCTCCCTGGCCCTGGAGGACCTGTCTGCCAAAGATTCCACGCAGCCTGTGCCCCGCCCTTTGGCCAACTGCACGTTCAAGTATGGGAGGATACAGAGTGCAACTCATCATTCTCGTTTAAGCACCCCTCAAGCCGAGAGGCACCAGAGCACCCCAATGTTATCGAGACTGGGTCCTGCCACAGAATGACCCAGACCCAGGTCATGAAAAGACCCCTGTCCAGATGTATCTGAAGTGGACACACCACAGTGGCTATCTAGGGGGTGGGGGGCCTAGGGCTCAGACCCGGGTGCAAGTCGTGCTCTACCACCCTCCATCTATGGGAATTCAGGTCCCTCTACTCACCCCCTCCGAGCCTCTGTTCTCCCATCTGTAAAATGGGCCGATCACTGCCCCTCCCCCGCGCAGTTCTTCCCTCTCATGTCAGGGGTCAGATGTCACCTGTGCAAGCAGGCCGTCCCTGGCCAATTCACAGCTGCAGGTTCCTTTCCCCTCACACTTTCCATTCTTGTTATTATCTGTTTTGTTTCTCCTGCACGTTTCTGTTCTGACATATTCTATAATTCACTCATCGTGCTGATCGTCTGTCTCCCATTAGAATAAAAACTCGGAGTGCCATTGGACTCTTTCTTCACTGCCACATATCCATGCTTACGCTGGGGCAAGCCACGCCTGGGAGCCAAACTGGTGCTTACTGAGTGACTGAGGGAACCCTGGAGGGAACCCTGGGGTGGTTTCTGGGAAGTGCCCAGCCTGGTATGCGTCAAGACTGGACACAGGACAAGAGGGGTCAGTTCAGGGCTATGGGTTCGCCCTAAGGACGTCCACACCAAGCCGGAGGCAGCCGGGCCTTGCCCCTCCCAAGGATCTCAGGGCCACACCCCAAATCAGCTGTGGCCCCGCCTCTCCAGGCCCCGCCCCAGGGCCTCCCAACTCCATCGCAGGTGCCTGCCCAACTCCGGAGATTCCCGGTCAGGCCCCCAGGCTCGGCTCCTCCTAGAGCCCGCCCGAGCCCGCCCGGCCCCGCCCGGCCCCGCCCGGCCCCGCCCAGCCCACGAGCTCACTGGTGCACTTCTTGACGTGGCTGCCCTTCTTGAGGGCGTGGCGGCTCAGCTTGCAGTGGAAGTTGTCCTCCCAGAACTCCGCAAACCAGATGTTGCGCCTGTTGTTGTCCAGTGTGCGGCTGGAGAAGTAGCGGTCGAAGCCTGGCAGGGAACCGGGAAGTCAGGGCCTCACTGGCCTCCTTCCCACCAGCCCCAGCCCTTCCCGCCTCCCCCAGGATGAGATGGCCCAGGCGGAGGGAGAGAGACCCGGAGGAGCACATCCTCTGATCCAGGAGAAAACAAATGTGGAGCATTTCATTTCATTCAAAATGAAAAGAGCTGTATTAGGTCCCAGGGGGAGCGAGTGTAATCTACAACTGCTGCCTTTATGGAAGAGAAGCACACGGATGAAGATGTTGCCACGGCCTTTAACCACTGCAATGCTAACAGCAGGCTCTGCGGGGCCGCCTGGGAGCCCTGAGATTACCGCACAGAGGCTGGTGGGGCTGTCCAACCCCGGGAGCACCTGAAGAGGAGGCCAGGAAGGATGAGAGAGGTGGGGACCACCCGGGCCACACAGCAAGACCAGGACCTGGACCTTCTCCCTTCATATCCAGATGTCCCCGTCACTGACAGGGGCAGCCTGCCTCTCCCACGTGCTCTGCACGGCTCACAGTTCTGCTCTCAGCCTGGGAAACGCTTTCCCAGGGTGGGCAGGCAGGCGGTGAACACCACCCTCTCCTCCTCCCAGACGCCCCTCCTGCCATACTGACCCTCTCCTCCTCCCAGACGCCCCTCCTGCCATACTGACTGTACCCAGCCCTGTGGACCGAGCTGCTCTGTATGGGCCAGAGGCCTGAAAGCTCAGCGAGGCCCATGGAAACGTCCAAGTGGGAGCAAAATGACTGGCCGCGTGGCAGGAGACTCGCTGGCCGGAGCCGGAGCTTTGACCTGCAGTAGGATTTCTCAGCCTCGGCGCTGTGGACACTCTGGGCAGGACAACTCCTGTCGGGGGCCGTCCCATGCACCAAGGGAGGCCAGGCAGCACCCTGACCTCTACCCACCGGAGGCTGGCGGCAGCATCCCCCAAGTGTCAACACCAAAAATGGCTCCAGAAATTGCCAAATGCCCCTCGGAGGTCAAAATCACCCCCATATGAGGACCATTGTTCTCAAATGTTCCTGAGAGAAAAGGAACTTGTCAGGCAAGTCCTGGATTCCGGCCCCAGCTCCGCCACTCGCTGCACGGTGCGTGTCTGAATCTCTCCGAGCCCTGCGTATCGGTCTACTAAAGATGGGGAAGAGTGAATCTCAGGGTGTCTGGGAGACTAGAGGAGCTGTCTGTCGGGGGCGTGGCATGGGCCAGCACCCTAAGCACAGTTATCCTCACACTGTGTTGGTTATGGCTTGGGGTGGCTGGAAACTCCCGCTGTGTGTGTTGGGGATGGGGGTTGGATGCGTGATGGGTACAGGAGGTGGGGATGGATGGGGCAGGAAGGCATGTGTCTGAGGGGACGGGGCTGGGCAGAGGTGGTTCTGGGGCCTGAGTCAGACGTAGAGCACGTGTGGAGGGGGAGACAGGTGTGGTCTTTGCAGGGACAGATGTGGCCCTGGGGGTTCACACTGGGCCTGTAGGCAGGTATAGGCCAGGGGGCAGGTTTGGATGACAGGGTAGCCATGGGCCTATGGACAGGTATGGGCCGGGGCACTCCCTCTGCCTCAGGATGAAGAGAGGACACTGCTGTGTGACCTTGAGCAAGTCCCTCCCCTCGTCAGGCCTCAGTGTCTTGGGAGGTGCCTTGGAAAGGCCAATGTCTGCGGTCCCTCCCAGCTCCATTAACGCTGGCTCCTATTGAAGGGAGGGAGGGCAGGGAAGGAGAGGGCCCAGGGAGCCTTTTCCCCATGGTGAGGACTGCCAGGTCCCTGCCAAATCAGCCCATTCATGGGAACATCACACCTCATTGCCTGTGAGGTTCTGGCCAGAGAAGTTCGTTCCTTCCCAGGAGACTGTGGGTTCTGCCTCAAGAGGAGGGGGTTCAGGGCAAGGCAGGCCCAGCCTCAGCGCCACCCGGGGCCTGCCAAGCCCAGGCAGGCTCTGCAGGGAAGCCCTGTCCTGTAGCCTGGCCGGCAGCCCCCAGCCCTCTTCTGAGTGGACTCTCCACACACCTTCCACCCCAAAAAAATCCCTGAGAAGGCAGGAGGAAAGGTCCTGAATCTGGATTCAAATTCTGCTGTGTTGAGTGTGGCCTAAAAGACCTCCCAGCCCAGAATCTCCAAACACAAGAGGCTCGGGGCCGCGGAAGAGGAAGGACGGCTTTGGAAAGAGGAGGAGCAGGAGAGGAAGGAAGCTGGGAGGGGCGACAGGAGGAGCAGTCCAGAATGGCGCCGACCACCAGCGCCCGCCCGGCCTACCTCGCACGGACATCCTCTTGGGGAGGATCGTGACAGCCCCCTCAGCCACCTCCTCCAGGTGCAGCACCGGTGCAATCTTGGAGCCCCAGCTATCAGAGCCCATCCAGAAGAAATGGCCTGTCTGGTTGGCCTTTCGCGCTGCCTCCAGCACACGCCTGTAGGAACACACACCAGCCCAGCCCAGCCGTGTCTGTCCAGGCACCTGCCCCCACTCCTGGCCACACTTGCTGTGGGCCCACACCCCTGACCCCCAGAAGCCCAGGGTCCACAACTGTCCCGGCACCCATGCCCATGGGTTCCCCCTACGCCCTGCCCCCACCTGCCCATAGGCTCATGGCTACTGCCTCATCCAACCTGTCCGCCCCTGGGCCCACGCTTGCCTGCAGCCCCAGTGTAATTCTCCAGGTCCCCATCTGTCCCTGAAAACACCACCCCTGTACCCCCAGATCCACACCCGCCCCACATCTGACTCAGGCCCCAGAACCACCTCTGCCCAGCCCCATCTCCTGAGACACATGCCTTCCTGCCCATCCATCCCCACACCCTGCCCATCCTCACACCCATCCACCACCACACAACCGCCCCTTCCCCCCCTGCACATGCTGCCTCCTGCCCGAGGCTCCCTCTTCATTCACCGCCCTCTGTGCCAAAAGCCCAGGCCCTTCAGAGAGCTGCTCCCCACACCCTGAGTGGGAGTGGGTGATGGAGGGAGGCGGGTGTGGAGCTGCCCTGTGCTCACACAGCCCAGTCTGCCTGCGATGGTAATCCAAATCAAACCAGGGACCCAAAAGCCCAGCCTGGGGCCACGGAGCCCACAGCATGGGCTTCGGGGAGGTATGAATGAAGTGGCCTCTCAAAGACATCTCCCCAGAGGGGAAAAACAAGGAGGAAAAGGCAGCATTCCCCTAACCCAGCTCCCACGGAGAGACTAGGCAGGGAGGAGGTAAGGAACTTGCTCATGTCACACAGCAAGCAAGCGTCTGTGATACTAGAAACTGTCCAGGCCCTTCCATCAGGGCTCGGGGGTGGCTGCTGGGCCTGCACAGGAGGCGGCCGGCAGGGGCTGGAGGGCCTGGGCTTTCAGGGAGAAACAGATGTTTCCAGGCCGCAGGGCCTTCACCTGAGCTGGTCTTGTCCATCCTCATCCCCCCGCCACCTCCATCATCTCCCAACGCCTGAGGCTTTCCAGCTCCGCTCACTGGTGTAGCCCCCGCCCCCACCCGCCATCCTAGGCCACCACTAATGGCAGGTAAGGCTGCTCTCAGAACCCACACCCACACCCTGTTAATACCCGCCTGCATCTGGCCAGCCTGAGATGGCCAGAGCTCCCGAACATCCAGCCCTGCAGAGTCACCTGGGTTTATTTTTACTTCTGTTTGCTTCTGAAAATGCATGTGGATTTCCAGAAATGACCCCCCCCTCCCACCCGCTTCTCGCTTCCTGCAGCCTGCCCCAGAAGTCAGTCTAGCTCCCTTCCAGACCTCCCCTAGGGGCCTCTTCTCTGGGACAAAAGGCCCAGTGCATTCAGTCCCCCTCCCAGCACGTGGGTCCATCTAAGCTGAAAGTGGCCCCCAAAACAGCAGGCCTGGAGTGAGGCACCGAGTGGGGTGGGGAGAGGGGGCCGAGTCTTGCCAGGCTTTGGGGTGGGAGTAGGGGGCAGGAGTTGGCTGAGTGGTGGCCGTCAGAAACGTTCAGAGCCGGAACTCAGGGGACCTGCACGCCTCAAGGGACTGGGCGCTGCCTCTATGCAGCTCCAAGGGGTCGGGATGGGGCTGGAGGGCTCCCCTCCCTGGCCTTTCGCTGCCTGAGACACCACCATTGCAGTTGGTCCTTTAGTCCTTTGAGGCCAAAGCCCTCCCCCATCCCTCCAGGGACCCCTCAGTGGCCTGGGAGTGATCTGTTTTGCAGCAATGCTGGAGTCCAGGTTAGGGCCTTTCCAAGTGAGAAATGGTTTGGGAGCAGTGGTGAGGAATAGGAGGAAGCCACCTGGGAAGGGCTGGGCACACAGGGCAGCCTTGGCTGGTCCAGTGAGGGGGGTCTGAGGGCACAGCAGGCTCTGCCAGCCTGAGCCAGATACCTGAGGAGGCTTGGCAGGGGCCACACCTGCTCTCACCCTCCTCTCTGAAGGAGAAGTGGCCAGCGGGGACTAGAGGACCCTACCAGATTCTGGGGGGGCTGTATCTCCCCTCAGCCTGGGGCTCCCTGAGGACAAGGCGGTGCCTCCCCTCAGCCTGGTCGCTCTGAGCCTAAGCCAAGACTAGAACCACACACAACCCAGACCTCGTCTCTGTACCCTGAGCTCACCACAGAAAGGAGGGAGGAGCTGAGGGGTGGCCCACATTCACTGGGCGCCTATTTCATGCCAGATGCTACTCTAAGCCTTTTATGCACATTCCTGCATTGAATTCTCAAATGCTATCAGGCAGGTATCGTTAGCTCATTTGTTTTTTAGCAGCAGAGGCCCAGAGAGGTTAAGAAATTCACCTGAGGTCACACAGCTAGTAGGTGGGAGAACAGCATTAGAACCTAAGTGGTCTGGCCCCAAGCCCACGGCCTCAGCCCTCTGTTAAATCGCCCAGGTAGCCATCTCTAGCAGCTGGGATGGATGCAAGAATGGAGGGGGGAGGGAAGTGGTGCCCCATAGCAGCGGCCTGCACCCCAGCCTGGGGGTCTCCCTGCCCACACACCCGCTCACCTGTACCCACTTCTCTGGATCCCAGGGTGGGTTCAGGCTGGCCTGGGAAAGTAGGACAGGACCCATGGCTCTGCCCACACTGTGTGGCTCCCGGTGCCCACCCCACTGCCGCCTGCCCTCACCTGATGTCATCCTCGTTGGCAAAGATGATGACTGCCCTGGCATTCGAGGTCTCCAGGAGGCGGCGGATGATCTTGTCGAACTCGCCTGCCTTGGGCTCCCGGGGTATCTTCACCGACTGGGCGATGCACACGCCCCCTGCAGGAGGGGCACCAGTTAGTTGAGGCGGGCAGGGGAGCCTGAGTCTCCCCACTACTCTCCCAACACACACGCCAGGAGATGGGGGCTGGGTGCCGCGCAGGCTCCCCAGCCCGACTCCCAGCCCTGGGGTCCCAGCCTCTGGACATAGGCTGTGCAGTCAGAATAGCTGCAGTACCAGTCTTGGCTCCACTTACCAGCTGGTGACCCTGGACATGTCACTTAAGTACTCTGAACCTCAGTTTTCCCATACAGCAGCTAGAAGCAGCACAGCATCATACTTAGGAGCTAGACTGCCTGGGTTCAAATCTCAGCTCTGCCACTTACTGCTGTGTGACCTTAGGTCAGTTACTGAACCTCTCTGTGCTGCACATACATCATCTATAAAGTGAAAACAATGGTATCACCTATTTCATAGAATTGTTATAAAATAAGTAAGGTAATGCATATACAGACAACATCCGGTACCTAGTGTTTAGTAAATGTTGATTATTTTTATTGCAACCACCTCATAATGTTTCTTGGAGGGTTAAATCTGGGAAGACAGCCCACCCTGAGGCGTTGTGCCTGCTACACCCACATCCGCACACGTCTCAGGGCTCCTGTCCCTGGGCCCCATGCCCATCACCAGGCCCTTGGTAAGAGCAGCATGCGCAGCCACTGGGGCTGGAGCCATCAGGAGAGGGTCAATGCTTGGTGTTGTCGGGATTCACGCCCAGGCTGGGCGGCCATCAGAGGCCCTGGGAGCACTTTCGTGCAGCCAGTCCCCAGCCCCAGATGCGCCTCTCAAGTGCTGGCAGGGGACAGATGTCATTCATGTATTTAAATCCCACCTGGCCTCCTGGTACAGAGCATCTGTGGGCCATGCTGGTATCAGCCACTGCCTTTAACGGATGAGGAAACTGAAGCTCAGGGAAGAGAAGTGGCTTACCCAGAGCCACACAGTTCTGGAGTCCAGGAGCTGGAGACCCCCAGAGAATAAGACCCCAGAGGCCTCTGGTGGCAGTCGTTGGAAAAGCATGAGGGATTAATCTTGAAGCCGGCCCGGGTATCTAGCTGCTGCCCTCCTCTGGGTCCCACTTAACTCAACACAGTGCCTCAAACCAAACACCTTGGCTGAGCACCCCTTGAGGTCCAGACTGGGGCCACCTCAGCCTTTTACACAGACTTGTCCCAATACATCAGAAAATTCTGGGTAGAACTACCAGGGGCTCAGACTGCAGGAAACACGACTACCATCAGCCCCACAGGGCAGTGCCAGCACCCAGCTCCACCCACGGAGGGGCCCCTACCCGTGGGCAGGGAGATGGCCAGCAGGGAAGGCTGCCCAAAGGCGGTGACACTGGGCTGAGTCCTTAGAGGATGCAAGTGGCCAGGCGGTAGACATTCTGGGGAGAACAGGGTACCCTCACTGGAAGGAGTGGCTGCTCTGTGCCGGGCGCCTGCTAGCCTGGGGCCACAGGACACAACACACACACACACACGCGCGCACACACGCGCGCACACACACGTGCACACACACGCACACACATGTGCACATGCGCACGAGCTCGCACACACGTGCACACACACACAGCTCCTCGGGTCCCTCCTAACCAAGGAGTCCCAAGGGCTAGAGAAGAGCATGGTTACTAGGAGCTCATGGGGAGGGGAGAAGGAGCAAGGGTGCTCGGGCAGGACTGGGGCCCCTGTCAGTCTGGGGCCACAGAGACAGCCAAGGCAGGCAGCTGCTGGCTGTGCCACTGGCCGGGCCGCCTCTCAGCTCCCAACTAACCCTCCATATGGTTTCCTTCCACTTAGAAAGTGGGCCAATTGCGACATTTCTCCCCCCATCTGGGGAGACAGATGGACAGAGGAAGAGGCTGGACTGGGAGGGGAAGGAAGGGGAGGATGGCTCCTGACTGCAGGAGCCAGGAGGAAGGCAGGGGAAAGGAGTTAATTGCTCTCAAACAGGGAGAACCGTTAAGTCATATTTCTGAGTGACGCTCCTCTAAGAGGATCCGTGTGATGGTCCTGCCTGGCACCTCAGGGCATATCTTGCAAGCTTCGTTTTGCTGGTGAAGGAAGGATTAGGTGGCCACGGCTCAGTTAGCGGGAGTGTGAGTGAGCCACAAGGTACTTGAGATGCAAGTGCAGTCTGAGGAGGCTCTGATGTTCTCACAACTTCAAGAGATTCAGACCAGAGGGGCGTGCGGGGGGAGGGGCATGCAGCGCTCCATAATACTAATGAACATTTATGGAGTGTCCAACACATGGTAAATGCTACTCTGCAAATTTCACATGGATTCATTCACCTGAGGTCAGTGTAATCACCACATCTCCAATTTATAAATGAGGAAATTGAGGCACAGAGAGGTTAAGTAGCTTCCCCAGTTTCATGAAGACGGTTAGGGGCAGGGCTGGGGTTTGAACTTGGACCATCTGGCTCCAGCAGCCAGCTTTCAGCCAGTCATGAAGGGAAGGGATAGGGTTGTGGAGTCGAGGGGGCTTGTGGGCCCATGAGCATGGCGGGCATGGCGCCCACCCTGGGGTGAGTGCCCACTAGTGTTGCTGCCCCCAGGATGAGAAACCAAGTGCCCATGGGGTCCCTTTGTTTCACAGCCCTACTGTCAGCAATGGCTGCGCAGGGTGGGGAAAGGAGCTGGCTCACAAGCCGGGCCCTCTCCTGGGGTGATACAAGCACCTGGCAGTGGCACAACCTCTGCCTCAACTGCTGTCTTGGCGCCTGCTGCAGCCAGAGAGGACCGGAGAGGCCCGAGAGGCCATGAGCACCCACTGCATGCCTGGCACCGTGCGAGGCCCAGTCTCCATGAACCTCACACATTAGCAGGTGCTAATATCCCCATCTTACAGATGACGAAGCTGAGGCTCAGGGTGCTAAATAGCCTAGCCAAGGTCGCACAGCCAGTCAGCAGGACTGCAGTCCGGCTCTGTGTCCACAGCCTCCCTCAGGCGGAGAGGCCCCCACTTCCTGCAGCCCCTCCCCTCCTGGACAGTTCACTTTCCTTGCAAAGCAATTACTCCACAGCAGCCACAGAGAATAAAGGGCACTGTTTCAGGTGCCGGAGCCTCTTCCGCACCCTCTGTTAGGGGATTAGCATGCATGTACACACACAGACACAGAATGCACGCTCTGGCATAGAGCCACGTCCACCACCGACACAGCCCACCCTGTGCACTCCAGGCCGCGCTGCTACAGACCCAAAGTCACACCAAGCCCAGCAGCCATCCCTCTGCCCAGTCCCTGGGCCGCGTGAAGCAGATGCCCGCTTCAAACCTCTCCCCCAGGGAGGGGCACTCCTCCTCACCCTGTGCCCTTCCCCCAGTGTCGCTGAATAAAATAAGAACCCGTGGGTCCAGTGAAAGGAGATATAATCAAATTAAAGCCCACAAAGCCCTCCCCCTATCTCAGGGCAGAGGCTGAGCCCTCCACCCCCCAGGCTCCAGGCACAGGATCATATGGGGAGAGAGATACACATGAAGAAGTCTGGGAGTCCCCATCGCCTTCCTGGCTCTCCTGGGTCCCCCTTGGCAAGCCTCTGCCCAGCCTCCTGCCAGGACCCCAGCCCCCAGGCTCCTGACAAACACCCAAATGCCACTTGCCAGCTGCAAGTTCTGCCATCCCAGCCAAGCTGGAGCCTCTGCTCGCCGGCCAGGGGCAGGAAGCCACAGCCGCTTGCCAAGAAAATCTGAGCACATCAAGTCCGTGGGGACTTTGGAGACCTCCTGGCCCAAGTTGGATGGACAGTGAAGAGACAGAGGCCAGAGAGGCCTTGCCCGGGGGTGCACAGTAGCAGGGGCAGAGCCACCTCCAGGCGAGGCTCTCACCACTGCACTGGGAGGTGTGGGGTCCAGGCCAGCCCCTGACTGCTTTCCAACAGGACCCGCTACCTCTCCTGGCTCCGCGGCTCCTCCCCAGCCCGCCCAGGCTCCACGCCTCCCCTTCTCCCTGGGCCGTCCCACCCATCAAAACCGACTTATGCTTGCCCCATGCCTCGGGGCCTCCTTTACTACAAGGCACTGGACACTTGATCAAGGCGTGTCCATCAGAACCCTGCGCAGAGCCACATGGCAGCGTCTAGTAACGCTGAATGCACCGGCTGCCCGCAAGCCAGGGCTTCCCCGTCCACACTCGTCCCCAAGGAAACCCCGGCACGTGGGCACAGGAGACCCACACAAAGTCGCTCAACACAGCACTGTCTGAACCTGCAAAAAAAATGGAAACAACCTAAATGTTGTAAAACAGAAGAATGAATAAACTGCACTACCTGGGGTTGTCCGTGCCTGAGGTGAGCTTAGGGTTACAGAAGGCCTGACCATGGCAGGACCCTCTGACCCCTCGCTGTGCCTGGGATACTCCCCTCGCAGCACTTCCCCATCCTCCCTGGCATGGCTCACCCCACCCCACCTGTCTCAAAAAGTCCTCCCACCATCCTGCAAGGTCACCCCCTCCAGCAGCCTCCAGATCCCCTGCCTTCAAGGACCCCCCAACCCCCGCCACTTGTGGGATGTGCCCACCTTGTGCAGTCAGGCTGGGCCGGTGGAAAGAAAAGAAAAGGCTTCCCATGAGAGGAGCCAGCTTGTGTCCCTGCCTCCCAACTCCCCGGTGTGGGGAGACAGTCAGGGGTCCTCCGAGTTGTCACCCTGGAGACTGGACTCCAGACAAGGAAGGTGAAAAGTCCTCCCCCCAAACCCTGAGCCACCTCCCTCTGGTCCCCAGGCCTGGCCTCTCGGGGCCCAGCCAGCCGGTCCTGAGGCCAGCAGAGACATAGGCACATCCTCACTTTCTCCTTTCCTTTAAAAAAGAAAAACTTTTAAATTTAAAAAGAGAGGAAAACAATGAAAAGACAAATCCTAGGAATTCAAGTGGAAAAATCTACATTATGGCAAAATGTGAAGGAAACAATTTCCAGCAGGGTGGGGAGTAGGGGGTTACACACGGGGACAGGGGCAGGAGAGCAGGTCCCCCGGCTCCTGTAGGGGAAGACAGAGGGGAGGAC